TAAGTGGTTGAGCCCCGGTCCAGGAGAATCAGACACAGGGCCTGGGGTGGTTACCCGTGTCCAACTGCCGGCGGCCTGTGCGCAGTCCATGCCCCATGTCTAGCCCAGGGCCTGCCTCAGATACATTTGTGAAAGGAAGGCAGGGCCTGGGTTCTCTCAACCAACTGGCACTGCGCAACTGCCTGAATTTCCCAGTTGCGTGGTAAGCCCAAAATTGGCCTCTCGCCCTTGGTCGGGCCTGCCTTCACTTAGGGCGGCCGACATTGCTGAAAACATAGCCCAGTAGGGCTCGTCGAGGCCTTGAGCCTCGCACTTTGATTTGATTCCAATTTCTTGATCGATCTGGGCTTGCCCTTTTTCCCGTCGTAGTTTTTGAAAGGCGTAGCCCCTAACATAGGCCCTAACATTATCGTATCTCTCCCTGGATTTCAATTAGTGATCTATTCAGTAACAGCTGCTACATTTCTGCACCATTCAGCCACAAGTACACTGATGGTTTGCCCTTTTTTCTTTTGCCGTTCACATTAAAAAAGAAAAAAGAAAAAAAAAAGCTCATGCGTTTAAGCCCAACCAATTGAATTGCCTGTCAAATCTGGACAGGATGGCCTTCTGGGCCCTTTTTTATTTATCATGACAGTATTTCGGGAAACCCCGTGGCAGCCAGCCCTAGTTCACAAGGCCTCCAACGAGGGAACATGCAGGGGTTGCATCCGACCTGCAGGTGGGCGATACCGGCCAGGGTCATCCGGTATCATGAGGATGGAGCTTCTTCGATGGGCAAGTCGCTGTGCCTCCCCTGCGGTCAGTCCAGCCCATAACGTTATTGTATCTTTGAAGTTTAGGACTACCGTCTTCACCTGAATAGAACGCCCCGTCATTATAGCTGTATTTGGGGCAACTTCCAGTCCAGATACAGCGATAGTTATCGGGCGTTCTATTCGGGTGAAGACGGTAGTGATCTGTTTGCTAACAGCTTCTTTGTCGCATGCCTAATCAGCATCGATCGGACCAAGAACCGACCTCGCAGAGACAATACAAAAATAGCCCAGTGGAAGAATGAAATACCAAGAACTGACTCAGCATGGACAATGACAGGGTCTGACTGCAACCATCACAACACGGTGTGAGTGGACTCAGCGAGGCAGCCGTAGAAGGTGCGCTGAGTCTGAATGCATACATGGACGAAGGTGGGGGGAGAAGAGACAAGGAAGGATCAGCCACCATACCCTGATGAACCCAGTCTCCAATGTATCCCCAATGTCACGGCTCATAAGTCTCAATGTCACTGAACTGGGCGAAGCACAAAAATCACTAAGTCCCAATGTCAAATCTCTCTGTCTGTCTGTCTGTCTGTCTGCCTGTCT